TACATACATACATACATGTAGATACATATATACATACAACATATAGTATCCCCCCGTCATTTCTGCACGGCAGTACCCTTGTGGAACCGGCAACCTGTTTTGAAGCCCACGCAGGTTTATGGAAACATGCAAAGCTTGTGAGCTCTTGTATATCTCTGGTCCGAAGCATATAAAAACCACCATGAATTCACATGTGTCGGCGGGTACACCGGACCAAAGCGGCTAGTCAGATCCCGATCCTGAATCCCTAAACAGCAAACCTTCGTAAACAGAGAAGCTGACATGTTAAAGTTCTTGAGAATAGTTAAGGGATCCCAACATGGACGTTTGAACAACTGGATCCCCATGATAAGGACCGCTCAGCTAATAAAGGTACCCCCGCCCAACTTTAAGAACCCTGCGAACCTTTGTTCAAAACATGCCCCCACGAAACGGGTTTTAGGGTCTAGGACTTGGGATTCTATGTGTTATGTTCGCAGACTGTAAGATGTATATATGGTTTGCATAGATATCCGCACTGGTACTTGCTTCAATGCTTGGGGGTTCCGGGTGCGTCTTTGGTTTTATGGGTTTCGGGTTCAGAGTATACGGGTCGTGGGACTGAAATTCAGCATTTAGCGGGCCGCCGGTGCATGACAGTGTTTTTGCAGCCTTGCACGGGGGTGCGAGGATTTGAATGATACTTTGCGACAGAGTGCGCATTCACAGACGATCTGGTCCAAAAGCCGTGTAGAACCCGAACGAAACAAGCCTTTAAACTCGCCCGCAAAATTCCAAAGCCGCTGCCCGAGCCCCGTGAGCCTGATTTCCCCGGAGCTTCACGAATACCATGATGGGCTTGGTGTTATGTCGCAGGCCCGCTTGTTCTGTGACCTCGCCGAAGAGCGCTGCGAAGGAGGACCTGGCAGAAACCAAGATTAAGGATCCGTCCTGACGGCCGGGTGTCTTTGTCGTTTTCAGAGTCTTTTTGAGCCCTATCAGGTCTTCAGATGCCCTCCAAAGTTAAAGACCTAAACCCCCAAAGCCCTTCCGAAGCCCGAAGCCCGTAAACCTTCAGACTTCAGACCCTGAACGAAAACTCCTAGACCTTCATAAATCCGGAGCCGAGCCGTAAGACACTCACAGAATCCCTTGAACACCGCTGCGGCCCTGTGCCTTAGGGTCTAGATATTTGAGATGTATGTATTAATGTAGGCATGTATGGATGGATTCGTTCTGCCTGAACCCTAAAAAAGCATGCTCCAAATTCCAAAATGTGCATAAAGCCGTATAAAACCCTGGTTCCTTACAGCACCATACAAACCCTAAGACTTAAATCCCAAACCCTATCTTGCTGTCCTGGTTGTCGAAGCCTCTCGGAGACGCTCGGGAGTCCGCAGACAAGGAGCTCCAAAAAAATTATAAAACGCCTATGAGCAGCTTAGAAAAACCTACAGAAGAGCACGAAATCCTATAAAAAGCCTCCATGGAACCCCCAAGAAGCAGAGGAGCTCTCGCGGCGCGGCGCGGCGTTGATGGCCGCCTTTGCCCTGGCGGAGGGCGACGAGGCTCCGGGCTCCAGCCACTAAGAAACAAGGCTTTGAGGGTTTGGGGTTTTCCGGTTTAAGGGTTTAAGGGTTTAAGGGTCAGGGTCTAGGGTTTAGAGGGTCAGGGTTTAGGGTTGAGGGTGAGGTGTGCATTGAGTATAATCTAGGGGCCTTATAATAGTTAGAATGGGGTTTCTTGAAAGCGGTCTATAAGGGCTACTAGAAGGGATCTATAGTAGGGTACTATGATATAGGGGCCTTAGTAGTTACCTTATACTATTGTGGGGGTTCCTTATTATAAGTATAGTATAATATCCCTATATCAACGGATCCTGAAAGCGAAGTATTAATAAAGAGGTTTATGAGTTCTATCAGGATTCTACAGCTTAGGGTTCCTATAAGGGTTCCCATACTGGTGAGGTCTAGGATTCAGGGTTTCAAGGGTGTTGGGGCCAATGATGGCCAATGTGTCTATAGGATGTCGGGGTTGCCGACGTCGTGTAGATATGTGTCACTAATTGGCGCTGCGTTGGCAGGGCTTTTCAAGGGCAAGGGTACAGCGAATCCCGAACTGGGCGGTGCTTGGGGCTTCCGGATTTCAGACCAGCGTGCGAGGAAGCCCTTGACTGAGAATAGGGATGTAAAGCGGATCCGTATATGATCCACAAAGTAAAACTTTATGTTTGTATTTGACCTCAAAGTGTTGCATGCCTTGGGGGCTGTACTTGTCGTTTTTTTGATGGGGCTTCTCTTTGCTACGTTTGGGTTTTCATAGGGTTGTACTGTTTCGGAGTGGAGGTCTTTGTATGTGTGTGAGGTTCCAGGAGCATCACAAGATTGTTTCAGAGCGATGGATCCTGGGAGGCTGGGCATGGGCGACCGGTTATGATCTCAACAAGATTCGGCTTGCAACTTAGGGCTGCGAGATGTATCGCCCTCGCTGCCACAAACCCTAAGCCACAACCCCTGGAAACTCCCCCTGCCAAGCCGGTACTTGAACCTGTGGTCCCACTTGTCCCACCTTTGCTGTCCCATGTTAGAGGCCGGCTTCTCTCCCATTCCTATGGCGGATGGCCACAGTGAGAGAGTTTGGTAGGGAGTAGGGTGCCGATGGGTGCCGAGGGTGCCGGGTTCCTGGTTTACACGAAGCTCCAGGTCCAGATGGTCGGCACCAAAGAAAGTTCTGGGGGGTTTAAGGGCTTAGACACGGGGCCGGGGTTGAATTGAAGGTTGGCAGACTAAACCATGAGGTCTATAAGGTGTACAAACCCTGAGCCTGCGGCGCCTGCGGCGTAGAGCTGCTAGGGTGCATGACGTTCGGTGCATCCAAAGCCGATGCTGGGCGCCATGCGGGTCGCTGGGCGCTTCGCGTGCTAGCATGTACAAAGGCTGGCGAATGTCGATAACCCCAAACCCTCGGCAACACCTGAAATTCATGTGCGCCAGTTCATTTGGGGTTCATCGGCATTTCCCACTTGAAGACGTGTTGCGAGCGCACAGCTGTCTGTGTGCTGACACACGTGTCAAGAGCATGATTTGGAATCGGACGGGGAGCAAAGCGATCAGACCGGTTGTGTGTTTTATGGGTAGCCGTGTCACTTTCGACATTGCCAAGCATCTGCTTTGCAGCTTGTTAGGGGTTTACGGTAGCGGAAAATTGGTTACGAAACTTTGGGGATAAAAGCTGCTTGAGCCCGCCTAAACAGTGAGGCTTACATCGTAAAACCCAAGTTGTGGACACCCATGCTCCCTGCCGGACCAAAAACCCAAACTTCAAAGCAATTTCCGTACACACACACAAGGATCGGCGCCACAGTTCTTGAACCACTAACTAAAGTTGGAATCCTTCAAACGAGAAATATCTTCACAGGCCCTTTAGAACAGCATGGCAGATCACACAAAAATCCTAAACATCCACACAACAGGAGCCTAATTGAAGGTCTAGTCTGGCAAACGACATTGAAATCAAACAACTTCGCGCATGCACGTGAACTCTTGCGACATCAAAATCCTCATATCCTGGAGTCCCGAGGAATAGAACTTCGGACCTGAGACCCTCTAAACAATCTGTCCTGCGTGTTCCAAGGTTTGGGTTTCGACAGTGGGGGTGTGGGGTGCATGCATGCCGTTGAGTGGGTTTAGGATTTGGCTCTCCGGCAACGCCGGAGTCTGCTTTTAGTTTGACAAGAATCCGGCATGCATGCGGCTGCCAACGCCTCCACAAGCTCCCTGATTCTTCCGGGGTGTAGGGTGTTTGAAACGTTCTGGACCCAATACTTCATGATGCTCCTGCTGCATTGTGCATCCGGGCACGTGCCGCCACGTCGCTTCGAGCCTGGAAGCTGTGCAAAGCACACGGGCCGGGGGCCCGGTGGTTGCGGTTTAGGTTCATGAGGACGGGCAGCCAAATTCTTTTGCAGGCAGGGAGATTGCAAGCATCATTCTGTACCAGCAAGATCAAACCCCATCCAAATACCCAAGCACTGTCCGGACTTGTGCTATTTCGGCTACATCATCATCTGGTTCGAGTTCTGAAAAATTGTTCTTGGGCCGGGCTTCGGCACTCTACAGTAGATTGAATTCGAGTCTTTATGGGTTCAGCCTGTGTTTGCTTCTTGGACTGCCGTGCTATGCAGCAGGTGCGGGGATGTTGGAAGGTTCAG